AATTTAGGTTAGATGAAGAGAACATGTTACATAGGGGATGAGTAATACTTTGCTGTCACCTTTCATTTGCATAATTTTGAAGTGCAAAGATTACTACCTGTTTCATAGAATATTTTAGTATTTAGACCATTTATAAACCGAATTGCAAACTTTTTTATTTATGGAGGCATTTAAATGAAATTTGATACATAGCCACTTGGAATAAAAGCAAATTTAACGCCAGTTTAAAAATTTGGTTTTGCGCATGCGCAGTGCCAACTTTCTTATTTATGGAAGAATTTAAATGAAATGTGATACATATACACTTTAAATAAAAGCAAAACTAACATCAGGTTTAGAATTTGGTTTTGCACATGTTATAGTCATATCCAGGAGCTCGTTTTCTATATTTGTTTAGTTTATTTATATTCTAAATTAAGGCGAAATAAATATGTTCATTTATATAAATTCAAAAATACGTATGCTTCTTGAATATATATTTGAAGCGTTGCGAGAAATAAATATATTCAGGACAAAACTGTTTTAAAACGAACCTATACGACAAAATACGATATGTTCTCACTCGGTGTTTTGCATTGAATTCGCTACATAAGACTCTTTAAAAAGAATATTTTTTAGCGCATTTCCACAAAAATAAAAAAAAAAGCGCTATTGTGGCCACTTTGTCCGTCCGCTCGTTTTGCGACGCTACTAGTTCTTTATCTTAAGAGCTGTTGTTCTACTTTTTTCGCTATTTGGTTCGTTATGGTGTCGAGTCTTGTACCAGGGAAGGAATTTTTTCTGTACCGCTTACAAAAAAAGTTATTGTAAAAAAAACAAAAAACCGTTTTTTACATGTTCCATAATTTTACACCTTTGCCGTTTATTAACGATCCTAGAGATCGTTTATAATTTTGCATTGCTATCTGTCGTCTGCCTGTTGGTCTGTCCGTCTGTTCCTTTGTCTGTCTGTCCATCTATCTGTCCGCGTGAACGATAACTTTGTTTAGAAATGTTCGATCGCTTTTACATCTCCGTTAGTTATGAACTGAATTGCATGAAATTCAATATGGGCATAGATTTAGCCATATAATACGCAATGCCAAAAGTTGGATAGAATCGATTCAAAATTCACAGTGCCCTTTTCGCATCTCGACCATTTATAAACCGAATTGCAAACTTTGATACATAGGCACTATAAAGGAAAATCAAACGCCAATTTCAAAATTTGGTTTTGCGCATGCGCAGTGCCAACTTTTTTATTTATGGAAGAATTTAAACGAAATTTGATACATAAAGGAAAATCAACTGCACTTGCGCAGTGAATAAAGGAAAATCATAACTTGGGATAAAGGAAAATCAAACGCCAATTTCAAAATTTGGTTTTGCGCATGCGCAGTGCCAACTTTTTTATTTATGGAAGAATTTAAACGAAATTTGATACATAGGCGCTTGGAATAAAGGAAAATCAAATGCCAGTTTTAAAATTTGTTTTTGCGCATGCACAGTGCCAACTTTTTTATTTATGAAAATACATAGGCACTTGCAACTGCCAATTTCAAAATTTGGTTTTGCGCATGCGCAGTGCCAACTTTTTTATTTATGGAAGAATTTAAACGAAATTTGATACATAGGCGCTTGGAATAAAGGAAAATCAAATGCCAGTTTTAAAATTTGTTTTTGCGCATGCACAGTGCCAACTTTTTTATTTATGGAAGAATTTAAATGAAATGTGATACATAGGCACTTGGAATAAAAAGAAAACCATATCTTAAATAACCTCTTAAAACGACAACTCTTTTTTCATTTAACCGAATCTGTATGCCTTATGGTTTCCGAGATCCCAATGCTTAAAATGAAAAAAAACTCACCCTGTCTATATTTCGCGTTAATTTCAGAATATATAAAAATATTTTCTGTATATATAAAACACTTAGCAGGTAGCACTCGTTATTCCTCTGTACAAAAAGGGCGACGCCACTAAACTAGATAACTATCGACCAATCTCGCTGCTCCCAGTGCTGTCAAAAGTCATCGAAAAAATTATTTATCAACAAATAAGTAATTATTTTGAAGCAAATAATTTATTTCATACTCTACAATACGGATTTAGGAAAAAAAGGAACACCTCAGACGCACTGACGCTCCTCATCAATAAAACGCTCGACTCTTTTGAATCGGGAGATCATATGTCTGCAGCTTTCCTAGACCTGTCAAAAGCTTTTGACTGTGTCTCGAGCAGCATTCTCTTGGAAAAATTAAGTATATTTTATAAGTTTGATAGCCTCTGTATATCACTTATCAAATCTTACTTACATAATCGATTACAATGCGTCCTATACAACAACCACAGATCTGAATATATCCAAATTCTATTGATTCGTTTCGGAGATAGTTCGCATTTGGAATTGTTTTTTCTAAAAAAACCAAAACAAATGCGATCTAAGTCACCTTTATTAAAATTTCATTTTGACGCTTCAATTTGTTTGTTAAACTTAAGTGAACCTGTCAGTTCTCCGAAACGAATCAATAGAATTTAAAAAGCCAAACCGATTAGTAATCACGATTAAATTGGCTTTCAAATAATGTGCCATTTGCCATAGGATTCCATTTAAAATTTTAGGAGTTAAGCTCCCTACGTAGAGGGGTGAAGACTTGGGCTTGTGATTTGTATTCCGAAAGGTGTCCCCCTCGAATACAAAATTGACGTGTTCGAGGATTTTTCGAAATTTCTAAATTTAATACCCTAAAAGCCCCCTGTATACTTCTCGTTGGACCACTGTATATAAATGACCATTTTTAAAATAAATTCAGACCGGATAATTATGCCGCAAACGGCGCTTCATAGTATTCCCCTTAGGTTTATTATTACCACGTTTATTACTAAGTATTTCTTAATTGATACACTTATTAACGAGCTCCTAGCGAGTTTATAATTTTGCGGTGTCTGTCCGTCCGTCCGTCCGTCCGTTAGCACGATAACTCATAAACGAATGGACCGATTCCGATAAAATTTTGCAGGTGGATTCTTTATCAAATTTGTAGATCGGAGTTCGTGAATTGGCAATGTAGACCAAAAAATAAAGTAGTCCCTTTTGACATCTCCGTTAGTTATGAACCGAATTGCATGAAATTCAATATACGCATAGCTTTAGCCATATAAAACACAATTTCAAAAGTTGAGCCTAATCAATCAGCATTCACAGTGCCCTTTGCGCATCTCGACCATTTACAGACCGAATTGCAAACTTTCTTATTGATGAAATTTGATTACATAGCCACTTGGAATGTAGCGTAATTTTCAAAATTTGGTTTTGTGTAGGGTGTGCAGTGCCAATTTTCTTATTTATGGAAGCAATTAAATGAAATTTCATACATACAGGGTGATTCCTATAGTACCTGCCACCGTTTGGGAGCGTGTAGGTGGTGCGTAGGGGAGTATTTTGATATAGGACACTTGGGGTCGGAAAAGGGTGCCAGAGCCAAATTTACCTTCTGGAATTTCGCGCCTGTAGGTAGGCAACCCAACCGGCCGGCGGTGCACACGGGCGCTAGTGGGCTGCGAAATAGGAGGAGGTCGGTGTAAACAAACAAACTTTTCGAAATGGGTGCTTAAATGACCCAAGTATCGATGTGCATCACGAATCTGTGTGTAAAGTTAAGCCTCCGTCAGCTTACCTGCAATTGCCCTGTCTCGCACAGTCGGAAGTGAACTTCTTGAAAGACCTGTCTGCAGGGTAACTGACGGTTTGGATACCGCTCAGCGTACGCTCGTCGTGCAGCTCGTGCGTTACCATTTGCCAATCCGTACATGAAGTGCATGTCCGCGTATTCCGTGTTAGTAAAACGTGCCATAGTGTTTATTCACTTGATACGCGTCGTTGCAGACGGGATTTCGTGGGTTTAAACAAAATTCTGATCAAGTGTCAGCCACACATCGCCGCCTGAGATCGCTCCGTGTGCACCGCCGGCCGGTTGGGTTGCCTACCTACAGGCGCGAAATTCCAGAAGGTAAATTTGGCTCTGGCACCCTTATTTTAGATTTCCGACCCCAAGTGTCCTATATCAAAATACTCCCCTACGCACCACCTACACGCTCCCAAACGGTGGCAGGTACTATAGGAATCACCCTGTATACACTTTAAATAAAAGCAAAACTAACATCAAGATTAAAATTTGGTTTTGCACATGCTGTAGCCATACCCAGGAGCTTGTCTGCTATATCTGTTTAATTTATTTATTAATTAACATGTCCCACCTACAGGATCAGGTGTTGGTGATGATGATGACGTAAAAAGCGACTTCTATTGCTTGGGAAATCCTAACATGTAAGAGTAAGTCTATAATTTATCAGTTGATTTTATGTTACTATGACAAATACTACATTCATCATCGGCAGTTCGTTGTGACAAGTGAAGGTGATATTATCAAACTCGGTAAATCTGTTGACCATACTTTTACGCAACGAAAACATACCTATACCATGAAAATAATCTCAGCCTTGCTCGCTATTGTCTCATTACATCTAAATGTAACTGCCCAGAGTGAAGATGTGGGTGGTTCACATCAACTACCATTAGTTCTAACCCCGTTAATTAAATCGCACAACATCAAAGAGGCGAAGGCTGCAGCAGAAGTGAAATTCGAAGAATTCTATGAAATTAAAAGTTACGCTGGGTATTTCACGGTTAGTGAACGTTTTAATTCAAACACTTTCTTTTGGTTTTTCCCTTGCGAATGCGATTATGAAACCGCACCAGTTTTGCTGTGGTTACAAGGTGGGCCAGGTGAATCCTCACTCATTGGACTTTTCGGGGAAAACGGACCATTTGAGGTAAACTCCTCCTATCAACTGGGTCTACGTGAGCATCGATGGACAAAGAAATTCTCAATAATTTACGTAGACAATCCCGTGGGATGTGGATTCAGCTTTACGAACGACGGTGGCCATGCACGCAACCAAACAATAATCGGTGAACAACTTTACGAAGCAATTTCCCAATTTTTCGACTTATTTCCAGAGCTGGCAACTAACGACTTTTACGTCAGCGGACAATCGTATGCGGGGAAGTACGTCCCAGCACTCGCGTATACAATCTTGAAGAAAGGGAACACAAGTACAATTCGCTTAAAGGGCTTAGCAATCGGAAGCGCCTATTCGGATCCAATAAATCAATTCGTTTATAGCGATTATCTCTTTCAAATTGGTTTAATCGACTCGAAATCCAAACGGCAGATGAGAGAAATGGAGGAGAAAGCCATCGAATTAATTTCAAAAAAGGAATGGGTCGCAGCTGGAGACGTATTCGCCGATCTCATTTACGAAGCTCGAAATAACACCTTCTTTCAGAATGTCACTGGGTTTACAGAGCCGATAAATTATTTAAAACTTAATGATAAATCTTTGAACGATTACATCGCCTACATACAACGAGCTGACGTGAGAAGGGCTATACACGTTGGCAACGCCACCTTCCACGATGCCGTTACGGTCGACAAGCACCTAGCGGAGGATTTCATTCAGTCGGTTTCCCCTTGGATATCCGAATTGCTAAGCAACTATAGAATGATGTTTTACAACGGTCAAGTGGACATTATAGTTCCGTATCCATCCGTCACCAATTTCCTGGAGAAGCTCAACTTTTCTAGCGTTGACGAATACAAAAATAACGACAGACACTTTTGGTACGTTAACGGCGATTTGGCGGGATACGTTAAGCAAGCTGGGAATTTAACGGAAGTGTTAGTTAGAAAAGCGGGCCACATGATTCCGCGTGATCAACCCGAATGGGCGCTCGATTTGATGACTAAATTTGTCTACAATCAATTTCAATAAATGCAATGAATGTAATGTTTAGAAAAATAAACTGCATTATTTTAGTGAAATAGCTGGTTTTCTTCAACAAGATTCAATCTTCAGCATAGAGGTGCGAGTCCTATTAACCTAGAAGGATAATGTGCACCTTTTGTTATAAGGATGCTCTCACTACAAAAGTGTAACAACTGAAGCGCGCCTAATGTTTAGGCTGTATTAACAGTGCGTTCGAGATAAGAGGGCCACCTCAATATCTCTTTTATTTGGAAAGATACGTAAAATCTGATAAATATAATTTTATACGCGACATTACGATCTATCCGATCGCATATTTAAACTTCCGGTGGCACTTCCGGTGTAACCGGAAATCGACGGAACTTCCGTTTTTCAAATGCAATGGTTATATTTTTTACGATATTTGGACAGAGTAATCAATGAGCTGTACGATAACATAAATTATAAATATGGTTGGTGCAAAAAAAATAGATACATTCCTTATTCAATATTTAGAAAATGCACGAATTCTAGCATGCCGTGTGCTGTCAGGATGCACGGGGAAATCGTATCTTAAAAACGAAACATTGAACAAGTTAGTGTAGGTCTTTTCTGTAGGATATGGCACACGGTATGCTAGATTTGATAAATTTTCTAAATATTGAATCATTTCTCATTTTTTGTATATCAACTATACGCATATTTTATGTTGTCATACAGAAAATTGAGTACTCTTTCTAAATATCGTAAAAAATATAGGCATTGCATTTGACAAACAAAAGTAGCATCGATTTTCGGTGATACTGGAAGTTTGAATATGCGATCATATATATCGTAATGTCACATATAAAATATATTTGACCAATTTTTCGTATCTCGCTAAATAAAATAGATATTGAGGTGACCCACTTATCTCTAACGCACTGTATATGTACCAAATACGTAGAGAAAAGAACTAGAACAGATATTATCTGAAAACCTTGAATTTTTGTGATGTCTTTAAATGGTATTTCTTGCGTATTTCTCATTAAACCTGCAGGCATTTCGAGCCTCTTTTTAGGGATTTCGCGAAATGCTTTTACATGCGACAAGCAATTGGTCTCAGGTTTTCGATACGCATGCTTTTAGTGATGCTAGTAACACTTTTGCGAACGGGGGGCGTGGGCGGGATGGGGGTAGAACACGCGTTCTATGGTTCGTGGTATTCTAATGAAATATATTATCGAAATCTTCCAGGGTATTCTAATTAAAGGTCTCAACGAAAGGATTTCATTCCTCCCAACCCTAGTCCTCCTCCCCACCCCTTATCGTGATCGAATGTAATTCCTTATATCTCAAGAACAGATTGTCAGAGGGGCGAGAGATTGTCACAAAGGGCGCCTGGAAGAAATATATTAATTGCTAATGTGTGATAATCCACCCTTATGGTTAGGCAACACACCTTTACATCTGAAACCAAAATATGATATTCTCTGTATATAACCAATTGACCGTTTTGTGCAGATGCCGAATACTAGGGGATTTTCGGAACGAAACGAGGGGAAGGAAGGAAGATGGCGACGATGTCGACGGAAGGCTTCACGCTTTCCCGGTTTTTTATTTTTGAAGGTAGTAACCATTTTATTCTTTCTTGTACTAGCTATTGATAATTGAATTTCTTGCCACAATTTGATATTATTTACATTTTGCTGATTTTGCATAAACTACGATATCTGAATCATGGCGTACTCCATGCCTTTGTTTTGAGTACCCACCGTTATCTGAATCATGTTTGTTTGTTATACTGTACAGGTGATTATACCATTAATTTGTTTTATTAAGTATTTATTCCTGTATTCACGAGGAGTTGATTATCAGTGCGATGTTGCTCTGTTCGATTGAACCGTAACTATTCCGTGAGGGAAGTACCTAATACAGTTTGATTGTTCGCTGTATCTGTTACTTTCTTATTCGTGGCGCGCTGCAGTTCTTGTGCGTTTGCTATACGAAGGGGGGGTTTCTTATTTGATGTTTCGATGTTTGTGTGTGCGAGTGGGTTCTGTCTCCGTGGAGTAGGTACCTAATACAGTTCGATCTATCGCTGTGTCTGTTGTCTACTGATCTCGTGCGGATTGCAGTTCTCAGCATCTTGGTAATGGGAGTAGGGGCCCTCTCATTAACATTTCCACTATTTAAAATATGTTCTGCTTGACCGATAATCGATTTTCACATGAATACTTGCTATTGGCATTCTCACATGTACTTTTCGTGTTAAATTAATTTATGTTAACTGAAGACTGGAGTAGGGCCACACCATTTACATGCTATTTATTATTTTACGAGTTGTGTTATCTCAATTGATCGTACAGGTATTTTGATGTATGTTTTTGTACTGAATTGATTTATCATGTTTTTCACTGCAAATATGATGTCTTGTGTATTTTGTTTTTATGAACTTGTTTAATTGCATTTGATTTGATTATCTGATTTTTATCATACAATTTGAGATGTTTTATTTATATGTATTTTCTCTTGCATTTTATTTCTTTTTATCTTTATTTTATTACTGTAGGTGATTTATTTCATGTATTTGTGTGGCCTATGCCAGGGTTTTTGTCCCGTAGCATGGTCTTGTTATGTGCGTAATAGATTAATTTTGTTTGTTCTTGTAATTTCTTACGCACAAAAGTTCTGTTTTTTATTGAATTCCCTTCCCGATTATGTCTCACGTCCCAACACATACAAGAACCAATACACAACGTAGGAGTTCATCCGTGCCACCCATATCGAGCCGACTGCCATCTAAATTCAAAAGTGCCGCGAAACGTCCATCGTTTCGACTTCAAAAGGAGGTGGCTCTGCTTGTAGTTTTTTTCCCAGAGGTGCCAACGGTAAGTATAGGGTAAGTCAACGTTTACAGTGTCGGCTTGATAGACCCCTAGAAACATTACAGATGTAAAAACTTTAAGAGCGAATATCTCGAAAACTGTTTGCCGGAGGATAGTACCCATAAAGGAAAAATGAATCGTCTTTCACTGGACACATCTGCTGAACGTAGTGTCGGAGGAGGGTACTCTTAATGGGCGGAAATATCGTCTACTGGGGGGGAAAATGGAAAGGGAAAATGCAGATCTATTTACGCACAGTTGTGCCACTTTAATTTGCGAGAAATTCATGTGATCAGTGATTGCGATGAAGCGGCACATTTGCATTATCTGAGTAGTACCACAGCAAACCGCCGATCACTTTAGAACTACTTTGTGGTTCAATGCGTTGGGCTATAAAGTCGGGTGTTCAGACCTGGACTGGGATAAGAATTTTTCATCTGTGACAGCTGATGGGAATTACCTTAGACCAGTTTCGAGCATTCTGCCGGCTACTTCGAATTAGTTTTTCCAGCAGTTTTCCTAATTCGTAAGGTAAATACCGGAGTAGTATTGAACAACTTAAGACCTTCTGCAGAGACGTCTCTAAAAAGCGTTATGCGGGTCACTCTGTAATTGGGCGCAAGCCTGTTGAGTGCCCAGAACAAGAATGGGATAGTAAATAAATAAATAAAACATCTAGAATGCACTGTGTCACGGATTAAAATTACATCTAGCTCAAACAGACTTTGAGTTCCACCGCAAACCTTCCCCCTCAAAACGGTAGATAGTATTCTATCGTGAAATTAAGCAGTGTATTCTTGAAAAATTGATATGTATTTGTGCCATATTTGAAACTTGTCCCCTTGCACAGGGAGGACACGTATGTTATATATTCATTTTAAAAATTACATGAAATATTAATACAAATTACGAATTTAAAGTAAGTGTCAATGCTGCCAACTTAAAATTTGTTCACGTAAAAGGTGTTGCCAATTTAAAACGTATTAATTCTACTTTTTCCTATACTTTCTGATAATTACTTTTTAATTAAATTAAAGCACCGAAATAGAAAGACTCGAGGCTCTGCTTCGCACCGCCACTCTTGTTACAAGATAGTCGTATTACAATAAGCCGTATTGTAACACTAAACTTGTCTTTCAATATACAATTATACAATTTAATTTATTTTTGATTTTTCAAACCGGTTAAGGTAAATGACCGAATCTTTAAGAGTTCCCCTATTATTTAACTGCTTGGTAAATGAGGATTAGTAAAACGTGCATTTGTGCGGTTGACTTAACTTCGCGCACATATCAACGCGAAATCTCTTTTCACAAAATAAATGAGACCCTGCGGTAATTTACAGGGGCTTGACCTATAACTTTGGTTGATCTTGTATCAACGCGAATTTCCTGAACGGTATCTCAACAACTTCTCACTACTTCATTCGCAGCAACTCAGATAACGGTGAGTGCAAAATTTTTCCTGTACCTTGAAACAATCACTCCCTATCTCATGAGTAACCGGCGGCTCCTTAAGTTTTCCAACTAATTTAACAAATAAGGGCCGTATTTAAGGACCACTGCCCATTTAACACAACAAAAAAATGTAAGAAGTCCTGCCAAATAATGAGTCCGCTCGTTATATCTTGCACGACCCAATAAATTTAACTTCAGACTTTAAACCCGCTTAAACCACAGATATACGCTAGGGGACACATCATGAAACATCAAAAAAATTCGAAAAAATGGAATCAATAAAATCCGTTAACAGGCTCCCGTTACATGTTACTAAGTAACTTCCAAGTGCGTTGCAGGGAATGCAATCTGCATCAAAATTTCAACTATTTTCCGGAATGGATGGAGTGAATACCATTATAATGAAATTAGTCCCCATTGAACCTATGTGTGTAAAAAGTTTTATTCAAGGTCAAAGTGCGCAAAAATGGGTTGTTTTGGATTTTTTAGCCAAACGGTTAGTTTTATTATAAACATAGTTCAGACAAAAATTGTCCTTACACTTTTTGCCATACCATTCCTTATTACTGAGAAAAACCGATTCCAAAATTCCACGCCACCTGTGAGGCAATGTACTTGGCGTGTTTTTTGACGTGGTTTCCTCAGTAGGCGCGGTCTACTTTGTCTGAACTCGCTGTTTGACTACGATCAATTGGTCATGCAAGTAAGCCCGTTAACCATTTCGCTACGTGACGACTTTTTGTACAGCTACAG